TGTATCTTGCCGGTACTTAGCTACGGAGCAGAAACCTGGAGACTTTCAAAGAGGGTTCAGCTTAAATTGAGGACGACGCAGCGAGCAATGGAAAAAAAATGGTAGGTGTAACCTTAAGAGACAAGAAGAGAGCCGAGTGGATTAGGGAACAAACGGGGGTTAAGGATATCATAGCTGAAATCAAGAAGAAGAAATGGACATGGGCCGGGCATGTAGCGCGTAGACAGGATAACCGCTGGTCATTAAGGGTAACTAACTGGATTCCCAGAGAAGGCAAGCGGGTTAGGGGGAGACAGAAGGTTAGGTGGGCAGATGAGATTAAGAAGTTTGCGGGTATAAATTGGCAGCAGCAAGCACAGGACCGAGTTAACTGGCGGAACATAGCAGAGGCCTTTATCCTGCAGTGGACGTAGTCAGGCTGCTACTGCTGCTGCTGCTGATGATGATGATGATGACACTTGGACTGTCTGACAGTGTAGAAAGACGTCGACATGTCAGAAGCGCATAGGGACAGGAATACACGAACGAGGTGAGGTGACCTGAACTAAAGAATTCAGTACTGGTTTTCAACACAACTAAACGATCACTGCAGTTGAACTATGAGTTGTGAGAGAGGTTGCAGTTTTCGTATCTCAGCATTCGTTTTCACAATGTAATGTATCCTAGCGTGTGCTTATATAATGAATTCATATGAGCTCGCTACAAAGCCATTATCACGGGTGATGAAGATCATAGTATAAGGAGATCAATGGAGTCGGCCATAGACTTCAGTTGCTTGTCAGAAAGTATCACGACACAATTGACTTTCCCTCAGTTTTCCAATATTCTAGATAGGACGTCATCATCACCATCATAATCAGTCTGACTACGCCCACTGCAGGGCAAGGGCCTCTCCATGTTCCGCCAGTCAGCCCAGTCCTGTGTTTGCTGCTACCACGTTAGAGCCAGCAAACTATATCACCTGCACACCTAACTTTCGGTCTGTGTAGCTGAACCCTATTTGTAATCCTGTAGTTGAACCCTATCTGTAAGGTTTTCGCTCCGTAGGTAAGTATCGGTAGAATACAGTTATATCTTCTTCTTGAGGGACAGTGTTTAACTACCTCGTGATTGGAGAATGCTTGTCTAATTTGGTAGCATCATATTCGTATTCTTTAGTTACTCTGGTCTCATCGTTTGACGTGACGGTTACCACCTGACCTAAGTAGGCGTATTGCTTTACAACTTCCAGTGCCTCGCTACTTATCTCAAAGCGCTGTTATCTTCCGATACCGTTGCGCATTATTTTAGTTTAATGCAGATTAATCTTCAGACCCACCATTCTGCTTAGGAGGTGAAGCGCATTTTTGCTGCTAGTTGCAACCCCCTGCAAGCAAAGTACCCGTAATATGTAGGTAATTTAGCTGCCAGCGCATCAAAATTGCGGGTCTGTCCCAGTGGTGGACGTTACTATCTTCGAGCCTTGAAAACGCTCGTCCACTTCTTGAGTCCTCGCCCCTAAAGCGCATCTTGAAAGCGAAGAGGAACCACTTAGTGGCTGCAGTATTCTGCGTTCGTGTTTCATCATTGTCCTGTGTCCGTTCCGCACGAAGCGACTTGTTCAATTACGAAATTCTCAAAACCAGTGCACGTATGATTGCGTTTCCCCTTTCATTAAAGTCGATTTCTTAAATCTATGGGGCTGTGATGTGTGCTACGCCAACCAAGCGTGCAGAGTACACCTCGCCATCAAGAGTCCGGGCCGCTTAGGCTGCGATAACCAATAAATAAAAATAAACGTAGGGACTCCCTGCAGCTCCTTCAACGTTGAGCGAGCAACAATCGGCGGCTATTAGGAGGCGTCTTACTATTCTCAGCGCCTTCATGCGGAACATACCTCGCCACACAATGCGCGAGTAGCCGAGCACCGTGTTGCTGCTTGCCTAAATAAAGCCATTGCGCCAAAGGCACCCCTTAAATCGTCGTCATTCACGGCTTCGGCAGGGCGGTGTGATGCTCGAATGGTGAAAGCAGGCAGTCGCGGGGCTGCCGCGGAGGATTCGGATATCATAAGCGCAGTAACTTGTAGCATTACGTATCTTTTGAGGAAGTAACTCGAACTCCACGGAATATCTTTGCTCAGCGCCTAAGTTGTTGGTAAAACAATACAATGCTCAAAGCCTTGGAATAGTTCCAAGAGCTGTCTTGTCACAAGCATACATTAATATGACCATATCGTCGATAATTTAGATCGTGCTTATATTAAACTTTTATTAATTAATTAATAATATAATAAATAATCTAATATTTATTTAAATAATTAATAAATAATAATTTATTTATTATTTCAATACCCTAAGGACCCGGGAAGGCATTACATAGGGGGGGGGGATTAGGAAGATTTTCAACATGTGTAAAATACATTAAATATTCAGAAGCCTCATTATATAAAGCTTAAATGAAAAAAAAATTGAAAAAAAAGAGTGCACACAACAGTGGTGATAAGGATAATAAAAACATATATATAAACTCTGCACAAGAAAAGGTACGTTAATAAAAATACAATAGGCTCCAGGTGACAAGTGTAGGCGCGAATAACACACACAAAAATATTCATGTAATTCACATAAACAACACCACCGCATAGCTACATTAATCGATTGGAACTTCTAAGAACACTTTTACCGCTTTCAGAAAGGGTGATGATTCTGTTAGAGTGGCTACATCAGCTGGCAAGGAATTCCAGTTAAATACCAATAGAAATCGCTACGTACCAAACGCTGTTACATGGTCATTGTACGCTCGATTTCAATGCACGTTTTTGTCTACTGAATCAGAAATGGGACTTGGCACACATCTTGTTCGGACTAGTTGGTAATGATCCATGATTATACCTATTGCAACACTTGATGAAGAACAGATGCAGAAAAGACAAACCAAAAGCACTTCGTGGTATGTCTTTTTTGTATCTGTCCTTCGCGAAGTGTTGCAAACAATAATGGGACCTTTAGACACTCCTAAAATGTACGCTCACCGCAAAGGTAGTCCCATTTATACTAAATGAATGTCCGAACTCATGGACATTATCAATCACACAAGTTGCTTCTCCGGCTTGTTTATCAGTTGTTTTGTCCAAACCTTCATGTAATAGCAGTCACATGCGTGGTTTATAACGAACTGTTTGCTAGCCTTACACTGACAACTATCGTATTGCGGCTTTCTGCTAAAGCTAAAAACAAGCTACGTAGCCAACAACTCGCTAAACGACTTACGCAATATGGATCCTAACAGTTCGTGAGGTCACTTCGCATTTTAGCTGAATGATCTACGGAATTGTAGCGTGAAATGCTGTCCTGTGTTTTCGCTTACTCGTCACCATGATATCGACAGGAATCACACGCCGTAACGGAATGCTGCACGTGCTCTCTTTATCTATTATACGGCTGTCACACTACATGCACTTTGATCAGAATGCTAAGTTGTGCTGGTCGGAATATCTCGCAGCCAAATAGACAAACGACATATGGAACAGGACGAATGGAGTAGAATAAAGACGCGTTTATGGGTAATTCCGATGCGAACGCTTTAAGAAGACGTTCTAATGCGGCAGGTAATTATTTCACGTTCATAAAAGGCAAAGTGTTTTACGTTTGTAAAATACTTTTCAAACAAAAAGGTTACAGGGTTGACAGCGGATGAAATCTCCAGTCATAGGCACAAATCTATGCGGCAAAAGATGCAGCGAACGTAGTGCGTTTCACATAGATCGCACGACGTCAAGCATGAGTTTATGAATTTTTTTTACTCTGCAACTTATTGATAGTAGAATAGCTTCTAATATCTTCTATTACGCCATTTTTGTGGGCATTTGTAGACGCATCATCGGCGTTCTCGATAACGGTGGTGCCACAGCAGCCTGCTACAAGGCTACATCATGTAACTTATCTTTTTCTTGATGATACAGCTTTCTTGCTTGTGATTTCTTCGGTTGAAAACCAGTCGAAATTTATCGCCTGTCCTGTGTTGTTCTCCTCTCTTCCGTCCACGTTTGTAGCGTTACGCCCACAGTGAACCCTCACCAATTTGCCCAGCTTGCAGTTTTCTTGAGGTTTCTTACGTTCAGTACAAGTCGGTCTTGTCGCCAAGGATGTAAAGCCATTACAAATAAGCTCCGCCAAGCCAAGACGCAAGCACGATGTGTGACACAGGTTCATTCAAGATTAACCTAAATCATCCGGAAGTTTGCAACCGGCACTTGAAAATAGCTAGGCGAGAGGTTTTTGTGTTTAGCTTCCTCAGATGAGAGACAGCAGTAGCCAAGAATTGAATATATGCGCTCGAATATGTATAGCTTAAAAGTTTAACATCATGGTGGGTACAAAAGGTAAATCTGAAAGAGTAATTTGAAGACAAACGTATTGCTACAACAATATGTATTACACCTTAATCCGGGGAAACAGCAAACATATAGAACTAATTTGTCCTTCCGCAAGAAAAATGATACTTGTTTTCTTCGTAAATCAATTATTTCAGCGAGAGGTGTTTGGGGGAAGTCGAACAATGAAATAAATACAGAGGTGTCAAGACGAGTGCTGTTTTGGTATACCGACAATAACATCCCATTTTGCTTGACGATAGTTGTAGCGCGAAAACAAAACGACGACACTAACTATCGTCATGCCATACCAAACTAGCCCAAGCTGCCACACTTCTAAGTCCCATTTTGCTGTTTCAAGAAAGCTGCGAATTGCTAGTGGTGGCCATAAAAGGGGCACAGCACTATTCACTTGTTCATATTACAGTTCTTTTTTGATGATATGATATTTTCTTCGACTGAAGATATAAATTAAGTTGTCAGCTCCAATACCGCTTGTTACTCTATGCAGACGGTCAATGTTTACATCTGAAATCACTCGGCAACTGGCCTGCTACCCAAATCTTTAGACGTGTGACGTTAGCGAGCGTGTTTCAGCGGCTAGAAGTATAGGATGACTCCAGGTGTGAAGTGTCATCGCGCTCACCTATGACGTGCGTGGAGATCTGCTCGGTGACCTCCTGGCGATTTTCGATGAGCCTCTCCATTGCGGTCGGCGTTTAATCCACAGGACTGTCTGCGGGGGCTGTCGCGCCGCGTTGTTGTCGAGCGAGCCAGGGCAGCCGGCCGGTCACTTGTATGCGACCGCCGACGGTTGCTCACGCTCCCGTTGTGCGCGAAACTGCCGCAGCACACCCTCCGCCTCTCTCGGCTGCGTTTCGGTCGCGGCCGCTTGTTTTGGAGGAGGCGCTGCACGAACGGTGAGAGGAGGGCGCGGGCACTTCCTTTTATATGCGCCAGCTGTGGCTCCTCGCGGTGCCGATTGCGACATCGAAAAGGTAGCTTCGCCACATGGCGATTAGTGGCAAAGAAATGCGTTAGCATCACGACGCAGCCCATGATGATGATGATGATGATGATGATGATGATCGCCTTAACGAATGGCTCACACCCACTCTGGGGTATGCAACGTTGTCGAGCAACCGTGATGATGATGATGACGATCGCCATGCTTACAAGTACTCCCTCTAAAACTGCATGGATGGTGACCAGCATTGTAGAGAGCTGGTTGAAGTATGAACGTATCCATTCTAAAAGAGGCAGGGCGCACAAACTGTGACACAAGGAGGAAGTCAGGACACCACAAACACCTACAAACAACTAAAGAGCCGCTGAACGACGGAAAGAAAGAGAGAAAGAAAGAAAGAGATAAATAAGTTAATAAATGAAGACAGAAATATATAAATAAATAAATAAATAAATACCTTCGCATTTCCATGCAATATGTAAACCTATCAATCGGACATGCACGGTGGTTTACGTGAAAGATAAACATTAAGGAATTTGGTTTCATTTCTATGCAAGTTATGTAGGGTTGACTTACGCGTGCGCTACCACAATTATCGATATGCCATGCCTCAATCATCGGACGCATATATTCCTTCCTATACCGGTACAAAATTGCGCATTGATTGAATTGAGGCGTATACGTACGCTTACGACAATGTCAAGCAAGATTGAAAGGTGACCCTCCGGTTATATATCTTTCATGTTCCAATAATCTTTGGTTAATTCAGCGGCCCCTCTGTTCTAAGTATAAGCAACCACAGATGAAAGGGACTCAATATAATACATTTGTACTGCAATCAGTGAATGTTGGTTTTTATGAAAGAAATATTAGCCCCATTCTTGTTTTTTGATCGTTCATTTTATCTCCGCGCAGTGGCACAAATCTTACCTAGCTTGCTGGCGGTCGTAAAAACATTAACGCCGTATCTTGTTCATACACTTTCTTTAGCCTGTGAGATACGCAATATGTGTACGGTATACCCACCAACATTTCCTCCTATCGCTTTCTGCAACCGTGCTTGGACTTGACATAACAGACTTCTATAATGGTGCATTCAGACGACGGACCGAATCCGGATTTCTGGTGGACGCGGACTGGTAATCCGCGGATGGTCCGCCTGCAGGCGTATCCACACGACGGACGGTGTCCTAGGAGAAAACAGCCGGATTACCCTCTACAGCAGGTTCGGCGCTCACCTGCGCGCGCTGAAAGCAGACCGGTTTGAGAGTATTCAACATGGATGCCCGCAAGAAGCGACGCTTTACTGCGATGTCTGTCGCATTGTGACAAATGAACGAGGAGCGTTATTCTTTCAGGAGAAAAAGGAGTTGCTGGCAAAATGTTCTTTCAACTACACTGTTCCCCACTTGTAGCACTTCTGAACGCGTCTCCCATCCTTTTTTTAGAAGCGGCACGTCGCCGGTTGCAGAAGTTAGAATATTTCACCATCATGACGGCTAAGAATATCGCGTGTCAAACGACGGCGGCAACATTTCCCGAACCACCAAAAGTGATTTCTGCGTATTTAATCACCTGAGAACAAAGCCCCCGGAAACTAAGCAAACCATGCTCAAGCGTATATAGACGATGCTGACCAGTCATGCAGCTATTCGCGAGCCATGGAGGACATGCCGCAAGCAGACGAAAAGTGTACTGGTTGCCAGAAACCCCGAGCTAATCCGCTGAAGTATCGGCTTTCCCCCGTCAGAATCCCGATGTGAGAAACAGGTTGCGGTCATCCGTCCGCCAGCCCCGCGGACGAGTCGCGGACGAGGGGAATCGCTGATGTGAGGTCACGTGACGCGCCGTCCGTCCCACCACATCGGGATTCGGTCCGTCGTCTGACTGCACCATAAACGTTCATTGACAGTGGCCATTGCAACAACCGGATAACTTACATCTAAGAGAACCTGTGCGTTAAAGCTATCATTAATTTTGTGTTCAGACAACTTCGTGGTGGTCGACTAAGGCAAGACATGGCTCTATCATTTTTTACAGACTCTTCTAATATTTCGACGAGAACTTCAACAGCTGTTTTGACGACCTTGAAAAGTGCTGCCAGCAAACGTTGTTCTTTTGAAACGTTAACGAGATGTCTAGAAATTGTATGCCATTATTCTCCCTCCTCGATTTAATTCAAATGTGTCGCTCACTGAGCTTACTATGGTTTCAAAGTCCTCACCTCTATAAAAATCAAGTAATCGCTTACATAACAAAAAAAAAAACTCCATAATAGGGTTACCTAAGGCGATTCCAAACGTTTGTCTACCTTGATGAGGTATAAACCTCTAGGAACCGGAGCAACAATAAAATCATATTTATGATTTTTGTACATAAACGCCTTCCTTCCAACCTACCAGCGTCGACTTTAAATACACGGAGATAACTTCTTTAAAAAAGCCCCCCTAAAAACGCCACATTTATCAGCGAAATACATCTCTTGTCCTCGTTTGCTAATACAGTCATTCACAAATTTTAAGAAGTCCTCATGCGGCGAAGAGTAATGAAGGCCTTTAATATCCACACTAAAAGCTTTACAGCCCACAATAAAGGAACTGTGTCCCTTCTTCAGTGTTCAGTCTTTTTACGCTGGTAAATATGTCGTAACGCCACAATGGTGATTTTTCCGTGGAATTCCTGTAGCGGTAAGCCCTCTTACCCTTCCAGTCCATTCCCGACACAAAAGACAACACTCATGCACGTTCACGCCGCCACTTTGCTACTTTGAAAGTTCCGCACACCACCTCGTATTCTATTTTAACCAAAACGTGCTCTGTGTTTTCTGGTCACTGCATCTCTGTTTGCTTCCCGTTACCTTCTTCCCGTTGCCTTGGTGGATGGTTGCGTAGGTTTCTGCTCCAGTCATGTATACAGATGTTCATGGTGCTGAACTTCAAGAATATATATACAGTAGCCGGATTCAGTCTACGGATTTCTTCGTGCTCGTGAAAAGAGAAGTACAGCTCAACGCGAGAACACCGCGTCCATTCGGATGCACGGGGTAAAACATAAAAAAAAAACTTCAGAAGTATTGATAACGAAGAAATGCTACTTGCTCCTAACCGCAACGTACTACCGATAAACATGAGATATTTGAACTTTAGGTAATTACCTTATAAGTTCAAATCAGTTCAGTGAAATTTAGCAAATGTGCCATAAAGGTTAAGAGAGAGTTATTGACAGTCACCCATCTGTACTACGAAGGCACGAGAAAGGCTATAAAAAATGTTTTTGTTGCCGAAAAAGCCATCCTGGTACGGGTATAGAACGCGGGACCAACTCTTTTTAGGGGAGATGACTCTTTTATTGTTACTGATTAGCTGCATTGATAGAGTGACCACCAAAGAAAGAAGATGGTTGTGCGTTCGATCACCCCAACAGGGCGGATCCCATGGCAACAAAGGAGTAATTGTTCCGGAAAAATAGCAAAAATTACCCTTTTTGTGATATTAAAGGTGAAATCGTAAAAAGCGGCTTCTCGGGCAACATTACCAACAGCCAGCGCGAGAGTGATCCAAACAACCGCCCGCGCGCGTACTCGAGTGAATTATCCGCACGGCTCTGCGTGCAAACTCGCGATCCTGTCGACATTCATCCTTGGCACGCTTCGTCTCTTGAGCAACGAAAGTGGCAGTAAACAGCGCCTGGGCTTCGCTGGCCCACAAAGTCATCACTGCTACTGCCACTGATTTGCGAGATTCTACCATGTCCTTCGTGCCACGCGAGTAGGCCATAAGAGGGAAACGGCCTCCGGCGTTCCGCTGGGTAACGTCACGCTGCAGAAAAGCATTGCATGGCACTGACAGGCCACTCGTGCACGTCCGGATCGTGAAACACGTGAGTGACACCAAACTTTCGAGTTGAACGGTGGAATAAATCCCGCTCGTTTCGTTTCTTGGTCCATGAAATTGATCCATCGCTTCCAAGCAGTACAGCTGACCCGAACGCTCTTCCATCGTTGAGATGTAGTGAGAAAAATCACTGTCTTTCTTTTTAACTTGGTTCAGTAATTCTTGAGAGTCGTGCAGTTAGACCTGGTGCGGGAGACAAAAGAAACGACTGACGACATTGCGTAAGTATTGATATGAATTCGTGCCATAATGCTCGTGTGAAGCTGCGTCAAGATTACTAGCTGCTCTATAGCAGGCTCTGCGAAATGGCCTATAGCGTACTCGTCGTAAATTGATGTCTTTTGAAACAATCAGTTACCTGCAAACAATGACATCATTTTTTTTAACTCACGAGGTTCTCTCAGCTACATGAGTCGCAGCTACATGATATAAGTATGAATGAAACGAAGTACACCAACCAAATAGAAGATTAAAAGAAAACAACGTCTCGGCCTTTGTAAGGAAGAACAAGGTTTCCGTGTGGAAGTCGAAACGTCGTTTTCTTTTAAGCTTCCATTTGGTCGGTATGCTTCGCTTCGTTAATCATGTTTCATCCCGACCAGACAGGTTTCCGTCGAATTCTTCATTTCAGCATATAGGTATGCTTATCGAGAGGCAGAGAGAGACGGCGTGAAGGCCGATACCCAAGTGCACCGCCGATTATTCGCGTTTGGTGTGCAGTGTCTATTGGTTTCTTTCGCACTGTAACGAATAAAAACGCGATTTAATTTAAACTTCTCATTGGACAGCAAAGCTTAACACACCGCGGCGCCGCTTCTCGTAGACAAGCAAACGAGTTCCCTGCGCTTCCTTCGAGTTTCGTAAAAAAAAAAAACAGATAAGCACACCACAGCCCGCCGCGATGAAGCCACGGATTTCAAAGCCCACGGCGTCAACAAGGCGGCGCAAAGCGCGCCACTCTTAGGTGAAG